CAAACGCTGGCCGTCCTCACCTCACATCCTCGTCATCTTCAAACTCAGAGAGGCAGATGGTGCACTTCTCTGTGTTGTCCTCTGCGTCGTCAGTGCTCTTCTTCACCTGCGACACACGTCAATAATCCGTAAACGCGATAGTTATCATCAATCTGATAATGTGGCATGCCACACTTCATGAAACAACAGCTGTCTGGTTACCTACCAATGCGCATCAGTATGAAACAAGACAGTGCCCACATGTCATCCCAGTTCATAAGGAAGTAAAATTCATCCTGAATGTGAGTCTTTGGTACTCAAATAGAGAAAATCATTCAAAAAGTGGAAATGTGTAAAGAGTGCAGTGCATAAAGCAAGAACAGCAACTGCAGTTAATGACCATTGCATCAGTCAATCAATCAGAACATCACCGAACGAGACACTGTAAGCCATGCCGACGCCAAACTCCGTGCAATGTCAGTAGTGGACGATGGAGAAACAAAGAGCAGTCACCATAGCAAAACGGGAAAAACTCAAATTCTATAACCTCTGACGAGACTTGGGTCACCACATTACAAAGCTAAAGCAAGGTGTTAGGACTACACAACTTACACTACTTTGCCGTGTGAGCAGGAAGGTCATATATAAAGCTCTAAGTGAAGGTGGGTTTTCAAGCACCCACTGTTTTCTACGTCAGCAAGACCTAATTTAAATCAATGCAGATGCACTATGAGACCAAGTTACAGAAAACACACTGGACAATTCAACTTGGTGTCCACATAAAATAAAATAAAGTGACGTGACCCACCTGTTTGTACTTATGGGGGAAAGTGTATCGCTCAATAGTGTCCTGACTGGCACCACGATTCATTTGCGCGAGGCGACGCTGCTCCACGACGCGCATGTAGTCCTCCAAGCGAGCAGTCATGTGACGTGCCAGGAATGGGAACGGCATCAGCTCAGGAGGCAGCACAGGTGGGAACACGAGCTCCTGCGGACGTGGACTGCCAGCCGCCTGCAGCAGTATCAGCAGCAGACTCATTACACAAGTAACTCGCAGCACGTATCCAGACAAATTATTGAGAGCTCTTACTGAGAAGTGCCTGTACATCTGTTTCATCATTCTGTACTCACCATGGTGGGGGCAATGCTTATGTGCAGGTGGTGCATGCGTCCTGGCGGGTGGTAGTGGTACAGGTGGTGATGAACATGCTGATGGGAGCTCTCCCTGCAACAACATAATTCCCCTCCAAATCAGAAACCTAAGCAGACTCCAGCAGCGTGCGCCAGGTTTCCAAATGATCACAGCTGACAGATTTAAAACTATTACATTTAACCTTACACTGATAAAACATGTACTGCCTCTTGAGAGCAGCCAGAACAACAGAACTCTAGACGCTTTGCTGAGGACGTGCCACCGTTAATTTTCTAAGCTGTATGAAATAAAACCATTACACTGCAATTACGTAGAGGAAAGTGACTGCACAACTGTACTGTTACTGTGTGCCGTGTTGATACCTACATGCCGTCAACATGAAGAGGTAGATGTTATTTCATACCAACTGCATGGCACTAAAGATCCTGCTGTAATGCAGTCTTCTCTTACTGTTAATATAAATCGAGGCAAGTTTAAATAAGCAATTTCTGTGTAAATTACTCACAACAATCAACATTTTCAATCTCAAACTTCATGAACAGGAGATCAGATGTAAATTGTGCAACCATACAAATTCCACACCATTCCAATTCTAGTTTCATACCAGGTAACTGTGAAGCTGTGACAACTCTCAATCCCCAGATATTTAATGCATACATCCTAACACATAACAGACAACTTTTTAAAACACTTCATCAACTCCCGACTCTACTGCAACTTGTAAGTCATGTGGACTGCAGCATAACATTGCAACAATAACCAATGAACAAATACTGGAAGGGGGGGGGCAAAGATGTTCTTCTGTGTCACACCACAAATGGCCACGTCTGCAGGGCAATCAACGGAGTAACAGCTGCCACAATATTATCCAAGACCAGCGTCGCAGCAATGCGATCCAATGTCATTCTTGCAAAAGTGTGACCCAACCACGACCTCCATCTGCTTTCGGAATGGCGGTCTGCCCTCAACTGCAAGCCTAAATTCTATGCTCCCGAAAGTGCTTCTCATCCCCACCTGGAGCAACAACAACCAAGTGTTACGTTCCTTGCTGCCATCTTAAGGCTCCCCCATGATATAATTGCGAGATACGAGTTTCCGCTACCCAGAATTCCACAATCGATTTCACAACAGTTTTACAAAAGTACTGCATTTACATGAGCCTAAAAATTTAGATGTACCCCTTCCCCCATGCGCACAGTAAGTGCATCATCAAAGGGTCACTTGGCAACTGAGCATTTACAGTGGCAGTAACCAGTTTCACGTATCTTGCAGCCTAGTTGGAACAGCACTCACATTGTCATACCAGGAGGAGAACTCTGGACCACAATCTCAGTCTGTATATCAGGAACCATGGAACCTGCAGTCAGCAAATCCACTTCGGGTGGAGGCACCTGCAGACACACAACAGCACGACACATTGCACTTGGAACCGCAGCCAAATATTCAAATATTAGTAGGACCAGTACTGCCAACAGTTGCAGTTCCACTTCATTATTAGTGCAAAAAACACAATGGCAAGGAAGTCATAAATTGTGTTACACAAACTGGGGGATGCTTTATCCACAGTACTATTGAATGTTGTCAGGAAAACGTGGAACTGAATGGCATAAATCATGAACTTTCTATTCAGTTTGTGATGGAGAATACAGATATCATGTAGTCTATGTTGGACAAAGAAGCATCTGGAAGGACAGATACTTCCAAGTGAGATACGATGTCTGGTGCGCGATTTCATAAGGGTTAATATTATCCACAATTTTCTTATCATACTTCAAAGTGACCTCTTTCTAAGAAGTCCTCACACCAAATTTCTGTACATATTTATTCTGCCCTCATCCCAGCTACATGCCCAGTCCATCATAACTTTCTTAATTTCACCAACTACATGTTTTGTACAAAACGCAAAGTCCGGCACCAAACTTCGGTTCAGGTCGGCATGCTATTTATTACTTACCATGGGAGGGGCAGGCGGTGGGATCATGGCAGATGGACCAGCCGTTGGCACCACCTCAGGACGGCTGTACACTGTGGGCTGCTGTGGGGTGGGGAGAGGGGGCTGGTGATGATGGTGAGGGTGATGGTGGTGTGGATGGTGGTGTGGGTGGTGGTGCATTCCGTACGAGTGATGCCCCTGCTGCTGCTGCTGCTGCTGCTGAGAGGACATGCGTGGTGGGTGGTGGTGCAGTGGTGGCGCCTGCTGCTGTTGGTACATGTCCAGGAACAGGTTTTCTCGTGGGCGGCTGCAACAGACAGGCCAATCTAGTCACTTCAGCACAAGCGTGTATTAATTTAGCTCCAAATGACTTTAATACAAAACTAGGAACATCCTCAAACCTAACTTAAACACTTCACCTGTCTAAATAAACTTATGTGCCTTAGGTTGTAAACCATGATAAACTTTACACTAATGCAGGCTTATGGGGGAACATTCTAAATTATGAATGACTCAAGGATTAGGTATGGATAGAGGAATGAACTGACTGCTATAGACTGAAAGTATCTAGCATCTAAACCTTCAATGTCAATCCGAGCACACACTCTGGCTATGTGCATTGGTGACACTTCATAACAGATGATAACATTAAATATTCAACTGTGAACTACCTCTGGAGGTGCATGGAGTGAGCATCCAGGCGTCGCCGTTGGATTTCCTGCATGCGCTGCTGGGACAGCCACAACCGTTCGTGCAGTGGATAGATGCGGGGAGGGGCTGGAGCTGCTGTAGGTAGGGAGGGAAAGTATGGGAAACCCCCACCAGTGTGTGCTGGTGATGGCTGTCCATACTGGAAGGGAGACAGCCTCAATGCTGGGTCTGGAACCAAGCAAGAAACAATGACTGATCAAAAAATGCCAGTTCTTGTAGAACTCAGATGTTCATCTCTTCCATAAAAGCAATATACAATTTTAACGAATTTTACAGTTCCCTACATTACAATTTTTGCTAACCTACATTTCAAATTCAGTATTTGATATGGCTTCATTCTGGTGCTTTAGTGTTTCATTCACTGCTCCCTCTTTGTTTCAACTGCATCAAATTGGAGGATCGATCTCTACCTGTTTGCCACGGCTGCAATTCGCAATGCACATAATGGTTCACTCACCCAGACAATATGCATGAGCTGCCGGTGGGTAGGAGTGTGTCGCCGGCCCGCTGTGGCCCTGTGCCCATGGAACGGAGCGCCCGTGGGCATGCATGCAGCTTCCATACAGTCCGCTGCAATGATGCGCATTGTTAGGCATGGAGGGGATCTCGGCCGCCTCGCTCCCACCGCACTGGTAACGACAAGATGGCAAGCGAAACCGTATCAAAGGCGGAGGTGCCGCACGGGGCGGTGTGCTGCAAGGAACATATTGGCCAGTAGAGGAACTGTGGTTGGGTGATGCAGGGGAGTCCGTCACCACAATTGGGGCCGAAGAAGCTGCGCAGGAGGGCAGAGCGGAGTGTCCGCTGCTGCTCACGGGGAACATCTCCTCATCTGATTCCTGAGTCAGGTCTACTACAGCCACAGGGTCCTATAACAGCAACATTACTGATTAAAACATATTCAATTTGTTCTCTGCACCTCACACATCATAATGAACCATTAATTTTTTGCTCTATTTCACTGGGTAAGTACCAAACAGAATTTCATAGATATGTGTCGGTTGTTAAAATGAAACCCACTTGGAGATTTTTCTGGGTGAAGGAGTAGAGGCCATTAAAAACAGCCCCCATGGGGGCAGAGGTAGATATCAGATTGTTACATCAGGCAATGGATCCCTTCCACAAAGAACTCCCTGGACTACTGCTGAAACCACTAAACCACTGCACGCTTGGTTTTCACCTGAACCAAATCCATGATCTGCTTAGCACTTTCTTGAGGGGGCCAAACACATGGAAATCACACAGTGACTGGTTGCAGCCTAATGAGGACCAGACATCATGCAACAATGGCCCTTCTCTTAAGCACACTAAGATGCTTCATCTCAGTGGGGGTATGAAATTCTTGGAGGGTTCCACGATAGTGCTGTGTGTGTTAATGGTAGTGTCAGGGTCCCTGAATGCGAGCACGGAAAGGCAGATTTGGTCAGCTAAAGATGTCAAGGCTGCAGCGGCACAGTGGTCCAGCAGCAGTCCAACAGCTAGTGCATTAATGGGATGCCTATCTCTATGCCAAAGGGGAATATTTTTATAGAATTCTACTCCTTTTTAAATTCACCAAATGTAAATCTCCAATACCAGATTTAATTTAAATTCAGGGTTGTTCATAACAAACCATTCCAGCAGTACAGAAGTCGCTGTGGTCAAACAATCCTGGAATATGGCTGGAGGGAGCTGGATTCAAATTGGTACTTCTTACATACAAACACAAATTCATTAATCAGTTACTGTCAGCCCACTAATTACCCCCTACAGCAGAGTCTGTCTTGAGATGCGTATTCCTCCTCAGCTGAAGACACTTAATGTCTTTTATGGAACCCCACGGTTCATTACCATGATCACGCAAGTCCAACACCGGACTCCATCCTGAGTCAGATGAACTGTCCACATCCCAACACATTATTCCATTTTCATACTATCCATCCATCTGCATCTTTATGTCCCAAGTATTCTCTTCAAATTTTCAGACAAAACCTTTGTACGTCTGTCATCTCTCCTATGCGGCCTACATGCTGATGCGACTCACCCTCTGCAATGACTGCTTATACTGCACGCTGACAACCTCAATGCCGCTGTCATCATCTGTATCATCACTGTCACTACTTGATGACAGCCAATCCATCTGCAGGTCTGGTGCAGAAGGGCCATCCCCAATGCTTTGAGTCTGCATGCCTGATGGACCTGTCACAACATCCCGCTATTGTTTTAACTGTGTTGGAGCTCACTTCAGTTCTATAATGCTCTGAAAGCCAAGTAGTATATTTACAATTGCATGTCACTACATACGAATCACAGCAACTTTTGTGCACAAAACTTCTTAAGCATGATTATCGACAGGTAATATTATGATAAATTGCTAAACAGCTTCAACACTTATCAATGCAGTCACAACTGCCTATTTGTTACCTGGAAATGGGTTTGAGCTGGGAGCAGTCTGTTGTAGTGAGGGGACAGGGTCCTGCTGCTGCTGTTCCAGTTTAACGCCATGCAGCTTTGCCCCATGGCCTTGATTCACATTGATCAGGTCAGATTCCACATCATCTGGAGCAGCAAACAGTTGGAAGCGCCTCTTCTCAGCTGCCAGGGGTGGTGGAGGTGGCGGTGGTGGTGGCGGCGGCGGAGGCACCTTCTTCCTGGCACCAGCCGACGGGTAGCAGGTGGGAGGTAGGTGGTGGTGCCCTCCTGAAGGCCTCTCCACAACAGTAGTGGACCCTGTGCTGGCACCACTTGCTGGGTGGTGGAAACTGCAAGAAGCACCTCCAGAGCTGCCCTCACCAGAATCCCCAAGGCGCACATGGTCGCCTTTCTTGGCTTTCAACTTTGTTGCCGTGGCACGGTCACCCTCTCGAAGCACGCGTTTTCGTCGTGCCGCATCATATGGGTCACTTCCTCCAACTGAAATAAACATGACAGTCTCATACATGTCCCAAAATGCTACACCAACATACCACAGCACCATCAGTGGATCTTACTGGCCAAGGCTGCATCACAGTCCATTTGGGCATCTTCAGATTGGAACAGACGGTAGTAAGGCGGTGTCACAGGCTCCTGGCGCGATGGAGGCGGCGGCGGCCAGACCCCGCGCCGATAGCACGCGTCTGACTGACGGCGGTACTGGGCATACAGAGGCTCACCAACAGTTCGCTCTGCAGACGTATGAGGGAACTGTTCTAATGACACCACATCTACGTCATCTGCATCACTCTCTGCAAACAGTGGTTCAAACTCCATCTCTTCTGTGAACCAAATGCAAACAAAGCTTAAAAATCTGCGATTCACTGGTACCAGAGACTCTTATAACAATATAGAACAGCTCAATGTCTAGAAGTCTGTGACTTAATCTTGGACTGGGCACTATCTATACTAAAGATCTTCTTTTCTTCCTCCAGAAAAAACCCAAAGTGGACCACAATCAATTTCTCCAGCATACATTGCAATTCACCATATAATGCTACATCATCTGTGTACTAGACACAGCAGTGATAAATAAACCAAGATGCAAACAAACTTTCTAGAAGTTAGGAATGACAGCTTGATGATAATAATGGCAAAAACCATAGAAGTGTAAGCTGTGTCACTGGATGAGAGCAGGCGTACAGAGCAACCAGCAGGCACTTTGCAAGAAAACCTGGGCATTAGGTGACAAGCAAGAGGAGTTCCATTTCTGGGGGGATTCTTACAAAGTAGGGAGTAGGCCACATGTGGAGCTAAACAGAGATGCGGAGTTACCACCAAGCCCACTCGTGTGTCTTAATTGGAATACTGTAAAAACGCACACCCTCACCAGTTCTGTATTCATTGCTGTGGGGTGGGTGATCCACTGTCGAGGAGAATGCAGTGTCAAAGATCTCAGCTAGTGAGGCTGGGCTCCCTACTACCCCTTGTCCGGAGTATGACTTGGCTTGTGCCGACTCCCAGGGGCGATGCTTGGAAGCTGGCGGTGGTGCAGTGACACGCTCCCCCATGGTTCAGGCTGCAAGCAATTACTGTTATTTCAAGGGCTTTTAAAAATCTACAGTTTATACAAGCTTATAGTTTTCATTGCCAATCCAGTTGTCCAGAGCATTGCAATATCCTTAATTTCACTATTCAACAATACCATGTTTCATCTTGCTTGAATGAAAATACTTCCCTTAGTCCTTGGTTTCCTAATACTTGATATCTATGTTATTCCACAGTGTACAATGCTTCACAAGCCCACGCTATTAGTTTTTATGTTTAGCTTCAGTGCTTTTGCTTACTCCCCTCTTAAGTTCATAATTTCTTTTTTTCAAAAAGGAATTTAAATTTTTAAATTATTACCAATATGGTAAATGTAGTGAATGCTCATCTGTTTAAAACTTGTTAAAGTCAACATACAAATTTTGCATAATACATTACACTCTTACCAAAATATTTCATGTATATGAAATATTGCACTCCTCACACGAACAATAGCTTGATAAAGCTGGCCACTTTAATACCACACAAAACTTTGCTTTAAAATGATGCTGCTATCTCACGAGTTCAAACAGCTGCTATATTGGCAAAGGAAAAGAAATAAGAACTCAAAACATGGATCACCAAAACCGGCCACAAATGAACAAAATCAAACATTCCTCACTGACACGGAACAAGAACTTTCCTTTGCAACTTTGAACATAATAAAGTTTTTCTAAGAAAATACATCAAATATGCCTTAAAACATCTGCTACTGAGCACTTCACATATACAGGAGATATGTGAACAATTTAGGATAGTCACCTCAGCTGGCACTTCCAAAGGACATGCACATTTTGTTCAAAAACTTCATTACCAACTAACTCTGTGCAACAGGACTCTCAAGGTTTGCCAGAGCAATATGGAAGCCCAGTGCTTAGCCAGTTCTGCTCACCTCCCACCATAACAGTCTAGCTCCCTAAGTACATCTTAGTTGATACTCCCATCTACTACTTGGTTCTCCAAGTGAACTTTTTCAAGTAGTCTCCCCCATCTAGATCACACTCCTGGCACAGATTCCTTAATCTCATTGTCCGGACGAGGCAACCTATCTAAATAATGAAGTTCCTTGTTAAGTAAAATCCTAACCTGCTCATTTTCTTCATCCTTCTTAGGTCCAGATATTTTCGTGAACACTTTGCTTTCAACAACTGTAATCTAAGTTTCACACCCTCAGAAAGTGACAAAACTGTGGTTCTGTATATCCTTCCCTCCAGTGCCTTGGAAAGCACACAAAGTGATGGGGTTTCAACCTGAATAACAAAAATTTTCAGAATTTATCCTCCTACTTTTATCATGAGCCTTATTTCAATCGTCAGGGTTATTCCCAGGGACTTTAATATCAACACATTCTCCACTGACTTATAATTAATCTTGAATGCACTAATTTACATATTTTTACGTAGTGTTGTGCACAATCTTCAGAGACATTCAAATCTGTCCACAGAAAGCCTCATAAAAACAAATATAAAGTGTTTCAAGTCATAATTATTAACTGGCTTACAACCTGAACAAACTTATACAACACTGGCCCTTTTATGTGAACACTACACTAGATGAAGGCTGGATACTCTTTAAACAGCATATGTGACCTCTAAGAGTAACTTTACTTTGCAGTGAGTCTGTAGGAATGGGCTTAAAATGGCGAACCCAAACATGGTTGCATATAGGGAATTACAGGTTGCTTCAAACACGTAATCTATACTGAACAACCTTCTGAACACAGGGATGTATTCCGACAAAAACAAATAGCATACTCACAAAACTAGATGTACACTGACGGCTGCTTCCAAATCATGGAAGTGTATTTAACTTCCTAACTTTTCCACCCTTCAATTGAGTTTGAACACCAAATATGAGTTTTCTAAACAATTCCATGCCTTAAATTTAAAGGGTTAAGAATATCTCATTAACAATCAATAAATATATATGAAGCCACCTATTACATAATTCCATTCACATTCTAAATCCTGCATTAACTCCACAAGTTCAACTCACAAAATACTAAATCACCACATTCAAATAATAGCATCTATTTAAATTAGGGCATTATGATACATAAAGTTCCTCAAGATTCAATACTTGTTGCTACATCTTTCTCATATATATATATATATATATATCAGTGATTTATCACCAACCACTATCTTTCAGTCAACATCCATGCTTTTTTATTATCATCATCATCATCATCACATCTATTCACCACTTCATGGGGTATGTACTTCCATGTACCCGAGAAAGACCTTGTCCCTAAGGTACATAGGGTCAAGGTCTGTCTCAGGTACACAAAAGTAAATACCCTGTAAAATGGTGAATAGATGCAATAATAATGAAAATATATAATAATAATTTAATTACATTCCATGGATCCATAAGACAGTCAGATGCTAACAGTAATAAAATTATTTCAACACAGAAACTACCTGCTTCCAAATTTGCATCAATAATGTCTCTGCTGACTTGAACAAATGGATTTAAGCCAATAAAATGACACTGAATTTTGACAACACAATTGAATGAAATTCTGTCCTACCAGCAGAAACTGTGTCAATCTAAGTACAGAAACATAAAACAATTTAAGTAAGAGAAACAACTAAATTTCTTGGCCTAGGAATTGGCAAAACTTAAATTGGAAAACACATATTCAACACATTATCCCTATACGAAGCTCAGCACGCTTTGCTGTGAGGACTGTCCTATCACTGGTGAAAAGATAAACTTTAAAAGCAAAAAAGTATTTTACATTGAAAAGCAAATCATTGGAACAAAGGCAAGCACTAAACAGAGAGCACCATGTAGGAAATTACTTCAGAAATTTAATATTCTTCCACTAGTCAGCAAATTCTTGCTCTCATTACCATCATTTGTAGAAGACAAAATATAAACATTTAAATGAAACTCAGATGTCTACAATATAAGTGCAAGATACAGATAGAATCTTCATATGTCAAATACTACATTCAGTGAGTATCAAAATTAGTTTACTCTACTGGAATTATGGTATTCAATAACATTCCCCACACTATAATAAAGTGTGAATCACAATATAGAAAAGTTTAAGCCAGAACTGAAAGAGTATCTTACTCCTTTTATAGTGAAGAATTTGCCTCAACCAAAAATTCTCAACTACTATAAATACATGCAAGCAATAATGGTAATGCTTTCCACTATGTAATTTTATATTTCTATTGGAAACAAGTATTGCATTTGTGCTATGACATGTTCTACATCTTTGGTGTAGGCCCATGAAGAACCTATGAAACGTAAATACATTCTACTCTATACTAAACACAGATAAACAAGTACACATATGATCAAACCATTGCACCAAAATGTGTAATAGTAACTAATTCTGTTCAAATTAAATAGTTATACAAGATAGGTACAGTATTGCAACTACTACTTAATGAAGACAATGAGACCAGTGAAATATTTTACACTGGAACTAGTTACAGCCCACAATGAATTATTGTGTAGCATCAAGGACAGACGAATGAATCAATAGTATGCACCCCCATTCGTACAATCCTCTACGAACTCCAAAAAACAACGGATGAACACGTCACGACTTCCAGTTTAAACAAAAAAATCAGGCATGTGTCTTGCGACAACTATGAGTGAATGAAAGTAAAGGAACCATGAGAAATAATTACCCTAGCCCAAGCTTAAGACTTCTCTCAATAAGCAAGATGTCAGTCTCTAGCTACTTCAAAATAAAGATCTCTATAGTCTGCATTCTTGCTAGTTTACACTGAATAATATATCAATGGCTTCAACTTATAATTAGAGTATTGTAACATATAAGAATTAAGGTGTAATAAATATTACAAAAATACTCGCTCACCTAGGCCCACAAGTCTACGCCATTCCTCGACAACCACAAGCCTTTGCGATACGATCCAAAATGGCGCCGGGCCATGTATTGGCAACGGTAGGAACAACAAAATTTGACCTATTTATTTCAACGCTTTGTTGCCAAAAAGTTCTACAAGTAAGTGAGAAACATACTTTACAATGCTTAATAAAGCAGCACATATATTGTACAACTCAGTACTTGGATTGTGTTCGGAATGGTACAATTCCCACTTTCCACGAACAATCGCCGTGATTATAATAGGATATGAAGGGACGTCGGCAGTTATTTATGTTGCATGTAATTAGAGGTGCTTGCCGATGTTTAAGAACAATTATCACATTTTCCTGTTAAAATTATACAAAAACGTAATAAGACGCATACGCGTATATACATATCCCATTTCATATTCGGCTTCACATGAGTACCATTTATTCACTTAAGTGAAACTTGAACGGTTCCTATTCGGTTACTAATTTTTTTGCTGTAACCGAATTTAATTTTGCTGTCTTCATGACGTTACTGCACCTCCCGTCACCAGTGACATCAATGCCAAGGTCACGTCAAGTGTGATTGTAACACGTGAATATTCTGTGCAGGACTACCAGTAACCTGCATTCAAATGGAACTACATGCATTTCTTACGTGAGCATCTTTGAAAAAAATACAAAAACTAAATGAGTATAAAATAGTGCTTACCTCTTAGGCCTGTTTAAAAGTATATAATCACACTGGTACTGCTCTTTATTATTAAATTTTTAATAATTCCGTCTTTAATAAAGCATATTTTGCTTTTATATGAAAATGGTGATGGAGTGGAAGTGCTCTCATCAGTTGTGGTGGACATGGACAAATTTCAAACAAATTCAGATATTCACAATGAAAGTGCAAGATACAGATACAACCTTCATGTGCCAAACACTAACCAAGTACTATAAAATGCATTAAATTAGTATAACTGTTGTCATGATTATAAATAGCTATCCCATCCACTAATGGTAGAGGTGGGTATATTCTGGGATATCACATTTTCTTGTCTGAGATTTGAGGTTTTCACAGCGAAGATGTAAATGATGATCTTCTGGCTGATAACCACATGGAAGACCACCACATACCCTCCTAATGACACTGTTACTGCCATAAGGCATGGCCAAATAGTCAGCACTTCTGCTTTATATTTGGGAGCTCCTGGGTTCAAGTTGTGACCCAGAAAACAGCTAACCTGACTGGGGGTTTTGTTGTATTCCTCAGTCTCTCCAAGCCAATACTGATAATTATCCTGCCAGTCAACATTGTAGCTGGTGATTGTGTCACAAAATACACCATGAACATAAACACAGTGCATAGTGGGACAGCTTTACTTTTTTATATAAAAAATACAAAATTTTGGCTGCTAAGAGAAGGCTTTGGGAGGGATAGTCAAAATGGGTATATTAATATTAATAGGCTATGTCTCAGAACAGGGTACAGTAGTAAGTTTTTGTGATGATGGTGATGAACACTGCAGTCATATACCTCCTGAGAAGCTGCTATTTGCAGGTGCTCCAAGCAAGGGGGTACACAAGCCTGACAATGCAGATTGGCCATGGGATGATTGTGCCACCATCTGGACTCATTTACGGCGTGCAGGTAGAGTACTTCCGGTTCAAGGACTCCCTTGCCGAGGACATGCAGCGCGCCGACTTAATCATCAGTCACGCCGGTGCCGGCAGCTGCCTGGAGGCCCTGGGTGCCAGGAAACCACTTTTGGTTGTAATTAATGAGGATCTCATGAACAACCACCAGATGGAGCTGGCACAGCAGCTCCATGAAGATGGATATGTTCAGTACACAACATGCACACATTTGGAGCATGCCCTGCAACACATGGACATTCAAACACTCAAGCCATTCCCCACAGTCGACCCCCACAAATTTACAGATTTCTTGGACAGCATCTTTGGCTTCGAGAATCGTAAGTGAAAGTGTGACACACCAAGAGTATGCTTTGTGCCTTCACTGTTCGTAATGACTGTTCCCTTATCAGTGGTACCAATATGAAAGAAATATTAATTTCAAGTTTTACATTCTTTGTATCTGGAACAAAGTTTTATCTTTTGTTCCACACTCCACAACATATTACAAAAATTGTATTCAGTTCAGAATATTTTCTAAGCTGATGAAACCTGAAAAATATTAAATAATCAATTTACCAATTATTTGGAACAGTTATATATAACATGGCCTCTTTCTTGAGAGAAGAAATATAAATTACAAATGTTTGAAAGCAAAAATATTTTGATGTCAATGTAATTGAATAAAGAGGGCAGAAGCTCATTAGACTAAGAAAATTCTAAATCTACCTATGGAAGTGTGTGGGCTAGAAAACTTACAGGATGGCAACAAGGTGAAAACATTCACATGGATGTGTACTTGAGACATGAGTGGTGTTCTGCATCTTGATAGCTGCTTAAGTCAAACTCAGTCCATCTCCTCCTAATCTAAGTGCAGTAGGAAAGACAGCTGCAATGTTCAAAATTATTATTTTATTGTGCAGTATTCTTCATGTTACAAACGTAAAGGCAAACCCCGATCCAAGGTATGATATCAACATTTTATACAAATGTCCAAGCATAATAAAAACTTTTAAAAATATGATTTAATAAAATAAATTGTTAGTTACTGCATCATGTCTGCTCAGCAGCACTTGCGCCCCTGTATCCTCAGGTACAGTAATTACTGACGAACTTGAGCTTGTGGTGGAGCCCTTATCTGCTGGTGCATCCCTCTTCTTGGAGGCTCTGCAAACATGTGACACACCGGCGCTGTTCAGTTCCTTGTTCTTACTCAGCACCGTCTGATAGAGTATGTCATATGTCTCATCCAGGCATTTGTTCCTTTGCTTCATCCTTCTGTGTGTGTAGTCTTTTATTTTAGCTGGTGTTCTGTGCACTGCCTTCCCGCTGGTGCCCTCTGCCAACTCCAGGCAGTCCTGCAAACAACCACCACTGCTTCATCTCCAGTTGAAACAATGCTATCAAATAATGAAAGAAGCAATTCTACTATGAAGACGGTTGGATTGCAGCTGACGCCAGGAACCTCTTGGTGTTGTCTCAGACTGTAGGCTTAGCAGTGGTGGTGGTGATCAAGAATATTTAACTGGAAGAGGTAGTACATAAAAAAACCACCAGAACAGCTATATAAAGCATCTTCAGCCAGTTTAACCCCTTACCTGGGGCAGTGAAGCATCACTGTCTTCCCCACTCGCCATAACACTGTCCAATGAACATTCCTGTTGTGTCAGAGTACTCACAGTGCCCTCTGATGATACCACGCCACTGCCACATGTTTGCAGAACCTGGAATTAGACACATGTCTTATGATAGTTCCTGTTTCCACACTGTATTGACAGGAGAAGGCAGTTTCATGCTTCAGTCTCACCCACATGAGCCACTGGAAGTTCACATGACTTGCCTTTTGCAACACAGGTTTCAAATGCTTGACATTCATACATAAGATGCCAGTGTCTGACATCTGCAGCTGGCATGTTCATTGTATGGCAAACAAAATTCTCCATAAGTTGTAGAAGAACAAAAAGAATAAGAATTTTGAAAGAAAGGTGTCTATCTGCATCAGTATAAAGGCAGCTGAGAGAGCAGGTTTCAGATACCAGTGCTGGAAGCCATGATCTACTGGTTGCGACAGTGAAGCACGCTTGCCTCCGCTACTCTCTTTGTTTATCACTTGAATAATAGCAACCACACCGACAGTTACTGAAGTGAGGCTTCAAGAATGAAAAGCAGCACTTACAAATTTTGTGATTTCTCATCTTTCCTAAGCATACTACCTGCCCCTCCCAACCCATCTTCCTTGATCTTGTCACCCAAATAATATCTGGTGAAGAAGAAGCTCCTCATGTGACATTCAATGTGTAAAATTATACTGTTTACTTCTATCTTTACAAAGCAGGTGGCAAGATAAAAGATTCAGAACAGCGTGCTAGTAAGCATTCCATGAACTTTCTCTACTTTTTATTTCTTTGAGAATGCAATTTTTATTTGTTACTGTCATTTCCAAATACTTCAAGTATTTATTAGCTACCATGAAAATATGGCAAGGATGGACAGACACATGCAATTTACTAATGGTTTCATAGAAGAAACTATGCTCATGGAAGTAGCAGGTGTACAAAATGATGATTCTCTGTTGGGGGGGGGGGCATGTTCTGTGCCAAAGGTCTTGCATTTCAGGTCTCTTGGATCCACATGCACAACACAACCTCTGGTGAAAAAACTTAAGTCCTAACAGCACCATCCTCTCATACCCTGACAGAAGCACAGTCCTTGGCATCCATCTCTACATCTTGCACTGGACCAACATCTCCAAGCTCAGCAACTGACTTAAAAATTTTGTGCAGGTCAGTCTGACTTGACTTGTCACACGTATTGTACAACTGCCTATGGAGGGACACCAGGCACTCCTCGTGGTCTGCGTCCTGAAGTCCACTAGGCCTGCAATAGTAAATGCCACATCCAAAGCAGGCAACACTAAACAAGAAGTTGCAAGAAATACAAAGTTCAGGGTATTAGGATTTCCAATCATCAAATCAGACTTCAAGAAAGCTTATAATTACAGCATTCTCTTTGAGTTTGGTGTACCCATGAAATAAGTTTACCTTATTAAAATGCATTTAAATAAGACCAATAGTAAAGTCCATATAGATAAAACATTTACCTGGCACATTTTCAAATCAAAATGGCCTGAAACAATGAAAATGGATCTCAGATAAATATGTTGGGGGGTTATGGACTGGATTCATATGGCTCAGGATAGGGACCAGTGGCAGGCTCTTGTGAACGCGGTAAGGAACTCTCAGGTTCCATAAAATGTTGGGAACTTCTTGGGTGGCTGCATGACTGATGGCTTCTCAGGAGGGACTCGGCTCCATGGAGTAAGTAAGCAAGCATAATCATTAACAGTCCTATGAATTTTGTAAGAAGTATTCCTTTATTTGATAATATGGCGCCACAATGAACTTTATATGTGGCAGCTTTTAAGCAGAGTGAACAATAAATGGAACATTTACATAGACAAAAGCCATGATGAAAATTCTTCAGCTATATTACAGACATGTATGTTTGCATAACTGAGACACCCATTATACTGTGTACTTTGTGGATTATATTATATTAAAATAAACAAAAATACCTGCTGCAGCCAACTACTGAAAAAGTTACCATTCTGAATTAGATGTGTTATGGAACGAAGTCAATCCCATTTAACTTGCTCCCAGTCCCTTGAGATATACACCCATTGTCTGTGTTCAATTTCCTTCCATTCAAGGTTTTCCTTAATTTGGCATTAAAATCCAATGTTATTCACACAGTGAAGTTACTGCATAATCTTATAACATAACAATGACATACCGTGTGTCATGGACTGTTTCTATGAATTTCTGGAACAACTGCTGTATCACAGCTAACGTCTGTCTTTCTACCAACACGTAGTCATCCCCCAGCAAACCCTCCAGTCGATGCCGCAATGCCGCGTTTTCTTCTTCCATTTGCCTGCTCTTCAATGTTTCAGCACTGAGCTGCTGTCTGCAACAAGAGGTCACCATCCCTGATGCTGTATCATACTGTCTCATGATCACCACTCCAAGAAAGCTTGTTGTGTGGTCATGGTCTATTTTACAGTTCTCTCCCCACACTGGAGGACTGAGGAAGACCAATTGTATGTACAAGTTTCTGACAGCTTACCTTGCCTTTTCAAGCTCCATTCTGTATGGTGTGGCAGGTGGTGCTGTGTGGTACAGTTCCTGGTTCTGCGCCGTGTGTGGTGCGTGCCCCCTGCAACAATATACGAGCAGTGCTATACATACAGGTACGCAGGCAATACCTGTCAGAAGTGCTTACTGCCTCAACCATCAGGGCAATGATCAGCACAACATTCCAGAAGACAGTCATCTTCATACCAACCTCTGTGGCAACCTGAAATCTCACCACCATAATATTTATTGAAGATTTCCGTCTTCTGGGTTGTTGCGCTGTGTAGTCTGGTCGATGTTAACCAACGTTTCAGAGGTCATACTGCCTCCGTCATCAGGGCTGTGAGAACCTCGAGTCTTACATAATATTTATTATTTGGTAATGAGTATGAATTATAAACTTCTCATTATGCAGTTTTACCCAGCCTCCCTTGAAGGGCCTGTCTATGTCCATCCCTTAATGTGATAGATAAAGTTTTACACCTATATAAAACAACAGGTAAAATTATAATCCTCTACATTTTCAGCTCAGCTGTGTGTACTGCTGTCTGCCTAACACCATTCAGCACCTGAAAAAAGTAATTTTTGCACCTATTCAAAGAACTGAGCGAACCTGCAAGCAGATCACCACTTATCATTAACAAAGTTAGTTCTAGGTCAGCAGCACTTCTTCAATTCATCAATACACCTGTATTTTTGTTTGCTACAATAGTGTAGCGTCATATTACATACACAGGTTTGACAGAATGCAGTTGTGACTACTTTGAAGGCATTTGTCTGGAATGACTGTAGAAGGCAGGTTTTCCAGAAGCACAGTGTACATTAGCAGAACCACTACTCAGAGTGTAGTGTGGAAAATACAGACCTCTTGGGGGCTGTCATGGACCTTGAGTCCAACTTGAGGGATGCAGTTTTCTTGAATAATGGTTGTGACTTTGGTCTCGGGTGATGTTGTGGCAACTGGTTCTCACCAACGGTGATCCAGTGGTACTGCAGACATGAAAATACAATGTTCAGCAATGACAACTGAACATCAGCATACTGTAACATACTTTACAATGCAACTGTACACACAAAACAAATATTGTCCATTTTCCAGTGAAATACAGTTCTTGTGAATTTGCTAAATTCTGTTTGAAGTAAGTGTTCTTTCCAAAAACTTTGTTAAGTAGAGTGAGCAGGTTTTGGAACCACTTTGCTCAATTACGTACACAGAAAAAGGCATCAGGAGGTAATTTATGCCATGTGAAATCCCCAAATTAGACAGAGACCAGCCCCACATAGTGGCTTCTGTTCACGTGACCCCAGCTAATGCCACTAGTTACGTAACATACAATGAAATTGCTGGAAATAATACTTTATATAAATTATTTTCACAGCATCTGAGGAAAACCATGACAGCTGGTCTCCAGGAGAGAACTTGAAGTTTAGTCTCTCAAATGAGAAGCACTCGGTGGCCAGCCTAACACCGCATGTACCTGCTGTGGGGCACCTCGGCTGTTGACGTGGAGCTGCTCCATTATCTGCGTCAGCAGCCCTGAGCTCAAGGCCTTATTAGCTCGCAGATCTACAACCGCCAGGCTCACGTTTGACTGCAGCATTTCCAATGCTGCCCTACCACCAGTGTTGCCAATCCCACAGTCCTGCAGATCTAGGGCTGCCAACACAAGAATATGTGTCAACACAATATAACACTACCTACTTTGTTACAAGGTACAAGTTATCTGAGTGGTCCTGCTGCCATGGAATCTGACATTCTAGTTCAATCCATCTCTCACCTTTCAGAAACAGGTCATCCCTAGCAGCGTTCATAAGGTACACAGCCCCTTCATCCCTGATTTCTGTGTTGTGGTTGAGTGTGATTCTGCGCAGACCAGGCACAGAGTCCAGGTTCGGCTCATGGTAGCGAAGCGTCTGTTTCCAGGTCTCGCTGCACCGCTGGATCTTCTGGTACTGCAATGAGGTCAAATCAACTCTGCAAGATCACGAGTCATGAACATCACCCCAATCGACCAAGTATCAGGCATGGACCTGAATCTGCACGGTTAATTATCCGATCACACTGGCAACGTGACACACAAACACTTTGTTCCTCTTCACTCATCACAAGAAGCAACAGGGATAACTGTTTTGTTGCATGGGTACTACTGACATGTCTTAACTGAATGGATGGAAGCGTACTGTTTGCTGACATTGGTAACACCAGAACAGTATCTTTCAATTGGAGATGTTTTGTGAAAATGTGGAAGACATTTAAATTCTGTACTCTGAGGAGAGTCCCCAAAACTGCTACTATGATCTTTAGACCACGCACAAGAAGACATTTAAATTCTGTACTCTGAGGAACAGAACCATTTTTCAAATGCTAAAGAATGTAAGTTAAATATTTTGAGTCCCCAAAACTGCTACTATGATCTTTAGACCACGCACAAGCAATAAACACTGAACTGTTAATAAAGTAACTTGCTCTCCCATTTTCCTATTTTCCATTTAAGACTTAAACTGAACTGTGACACACACGACTTTGTTACGACTTGGTCCCTAAGCAGCTGCTGGAGAGACCAGTCACCTGGCATTGTTATAGATATGATGGGCTGGCCATGTAGAAACAAGACATATGTATCAAAGCTGCTGTATGGTATGCTGAGAGTGCAGCTCACCTCAATAGTCTTGGCCACTGCCAGAGCACCCTGATGCGTGAGACCGCAGTTTGAGAAATTGACAGTGATGATGTTGGTCAGCCCCTTAATGGCATGGCACAGCAGCGCACAGCCCTCGTCCCTGATCGGACTGCGGTGCAGTGACACGTGCTTCAGCGACTTACAGCTTCTCATGCCCTGCAGTCACACCACAAGTTGCAAATGAGCAGGAAGAGTGTTTGTTTGTGAAAGGAGCAAATTGATGTTTTGAACTCACCACTGTACTGACACACTTCACCCATCCATCAGTGTTCCTGTACATCAACAACGCACCCAACACAAACAACACCTACTGAGCCTAAACTAATAACCAAACAATTCAGTGATACCAACCAACTGTGTTAAAACTGTCAGACACATAATTTAGATAGTCACCACATTTGTAAGTGGTGTTTAACTCCATGCAGCAGAGTCCTTGAGAAGCTGACAGTCACTCAGCTATTACTAACCTTCTATAAAACCTGAATCTTCCTTACCAAAAGAGTTTTGAGGTTCACAGAGCACTGAAGATGTCAATGTTTTGATTATGTTCTTTTGCGTTCTGGCGTCATTTGGACTGGTCGATAGATGCCATTATTTTGGAGAAGCATATTATCTCCATCTTCAGGGCTGAAGTGACAATGCTGGGAATCAGAGGAATTATATAGAGTAGCAGGAGGCCAATCAGGATGGAAAGAGGACGAAATGGCCCATTCCTTCAGACTTCCCTTCCTGCCACCCTATATAATCCACCATCATCTTTGCCATGGAAACCTCAAATCTCACATTTCAGTGTTTTGTCTCCTGGTCTCATTTATGTCATGGGAATACTGATTTCAAAGAAAATGTTGTATAATACATCCCTCTTGACTGGATCATAAGCTTTCTTTAAGTCTACAAATAGCTGGTGTACTGAACACAAAGTGCATATCACCACACAAACCCCTGTGTGCCAAAGACCAATGTTTCATTACATTGGGTACTGCATTATTGCTGTATCATGTTTTATATTTAACAATAAGTTGTATCTTAACAAACATTAAATATTTTCCAAATATCTGTAACCACACTAAATTTCAGGGCATTACAGTAAATGGTGCCAACGTTCCTTCCACTTCAGAAGCTGGACTTGCTGATATTTGTAGTAGGGAACTGGAAACTGCTGAGGCAACGTGGCTTCTAGTGGCAAGATGTTCACAACAAGTTTCAGAAGTTGTTAAGTGGTGACACACACATATTACCTTTCCTTATAAAATAATAAAGTTAATCACACCATTGTGAAAGTAGGTAAACTAACTTATGTTAGGTTTCAGGGATTTAAAATAATTTAATGTTTGTCAAGAGACTTCAAATTCAAAGAAATCCATCTGAAGACCAACTACCAAACAAATCTGACCTCATGTAGACACACTGTCACACTCATACATGTAGACAGACACACATGTACAGCCACAAAATAGAATTGTTACATATAACTGCACAGAGAGAATGCTGCTCACCTTGATGAACTCCTCCAGGTAGTGTCTCCCAATTGGCAGACCCTCCAGTTCCACACAAGTTAGTACCTCAGTGTTGCTCATACAAACTTCAATTGCCTTTAAGAGCCGCAACAGAACAAAGTGTGTCTGCAGCACTGGAACCCGTTGTAATGTACGAGACCTTGATTCTGTAACTATATTTTCTATTGCTGTAGATCAAACAAGCTTAAGTCTCAATGTGCTTAAAGGCATCTGATATTGTGTGCTTCCCTTGGCTTTCAACTACATCAATTACTATACAAACAAGTAACATCACAATTTATGTATACTGGTGGGTTACGAAATAATAAAGCATCACGTCACACGTGCACAGAACTGCGGCTGACATAACAAAGTTCTGAATAATATAGCAGTTAATTAAAAAATGAGGTTAATTATTTGTACTTTTATCTTAAAAAGATGGTGATAAATCTTTACCATATGAAAATGAGAGATTTAAACCTCACACTGGAGACTGTCAACCAGACTTTAACTCTGGGGTTAGCGCTTCACAGAGACAATCTAAGACAACAGATAACTGGGCCCTGGATAAGCAGCACTCTACCATACTTTTAAATTGCCTGTACTACACAGGGGCCTGGCAGTTACAAAGTGTATCCTGAGGAATCCTTTCAGCACCATAAAACCCACTTTAATAATGTCCAGTCTCTTTTCACTTATAGCTGTTGCCTCCATGCCTTGTTTTTCATACTCACACCTGATAAACAATACAAATTATGAAGCTATTCATTTCTAGAATTTCTCCATTTTCCTGTCAATTTTAACATAAACCTAAAACCTCAATCTACGTTACTCTTGCACCATACAAAACAACGGGTATCTCTGTATCTATGCTTATAAGACACCCACCTGGTTTGGCACAGAGCCTGCTGTGAACAGCGATGAAATGCAGGCTTCTATCCAGGGCAAGCGCATTGAGAATCGGTCCCCACTCCTCACACGTGATCAGATCTCCATTAAAATTAAGAATGTTCTTCTCCAAATGTGCCTTCACAGAAGGCAATGGCCTTTGATTCTGGATCCTACACAAGTCTTCATAGCAGAGACTAAACTTTCTTGAATTTTCTTTCCGTTCTCTTACAGACTGCATCATGGTAATCCATAACAGAGCAACTATCTTATAAAATCATTCATGAGAAACAGACAGTCATCTGCCCTTTACCAGTTCACAAGAGCCCACCATTAGACTATATCATGGTGAATCTACTATATACAAACACATCCTCTTCATTTCAATATAATTTTCTCATCTGCATTTAGACCTTTAAAGTGATGTCTTCCATTCAGGTTTTCTAACCAAAATGTTGTATGCATGTCTCATCCACCATGCTACCAAACCTGCCAATCTCACATTCCTTCACTTTATCACCTTACACACAGTACAAATTATGAAGCTCCTCAATATGCAACTTCCTCCAGCCTCCTGTCACTTCGCACCCCTTAGGCCTAAATATTCTAGGAACCCAATTCTCAAACAAACTCAATCCATGTTCTCCCTTTGATGTGAGGGATCAAGATTCACATTACACTTTCGTATATTTTAGTCTTTACATTTTTATACAAGAGACCTGAAAAAGACTGTACTGCAAGGTGGTAAGCATTTCTTCAATTCGGTATGCTGTTAACGTCTTTGTTAATGAATCATAACTATTATTCTAATTTTCAAATATTTTGCCGAAGTTTCAAAGGATTAGCTACATCTGTATTAGGATTTTGTGTAACTGCTCTTAATAAGTTCCGATATTCTTTAGGAGAGTGATATGTATTATCTTTTACAGTTTCCGTCTATTCAATTTGTGATTGAAGTCATGAGCTGGAGGAAGTTGTCACAATTAAGTCAAGATCTATATCCTTATAGAAAAGTGGAACTTAAAATAGACATATTTAAACAATCACGTTCTTATGACGTCATTAATTTTTGTCCTTAGGTTTTTACAGCTACAGAATAACTCACGATTTCGCCTTAACGGAATAAGACACAATGAAAATTGAAGGTGGCCTTTTCTGAACCATGTGGTCGTTTCCCACGGATGATGAGAACTGTAACCTACAATACATGACGAGGTTTATTCCGCACAGCCGAAGGGTTAATTAATTATTTTAAAAAGAACAGAATTTTATTGGAAGTTAATGTCCAGTTAATGTTTAAAATATAAATTTAGAAAAAAGTATCGTGAAATTATCTGTTGTTTTTGACATTATAGGTAAAGGTGTCTTTTGTTTTCTGCGCAACCAACAACGTATATGTGACGAAATGCTGTTAGCCCCGCGAGGCATCAAGGCTGTGATGCTCGACCTTCGCGATCATATGGAGCGGCCAGGTGTGATTCACTTTTCTACGAAAACAAGTCGTAAATTACAATGCCAGTGTCACACAAAAGTCCCTTTCTCAGTTTCCGCATGTCTGTACGTTTACAAATATATAACATTCTCTGTTTTTACTGAACAACAAAACCCCTTACATTAGGGGAGGAATACAGATTCGAGGATGTTGTGTGCGGATGAAGATGAACAAATAAAACACGATACGATTGACGGGGCACGTAGCACGCTGGGAGAGATGCCAAGTAAACACAGAATTTGGTTGGTAAGCGTGGAGTAAAGGGACGACTTGCAAGGCCTAAGCATAGACGGCAAGACAATATTAAAGTGGACCTCAAAGAAACAGGCCTGAGATTGTGGCCTGGTTTAACGTAGCACAGGATAATGGCCAGTAGCAGGCTATTATGAACTTTCAGGTTTCATGAAAGCCACGGAATTACTTTACATGCTAAGTGCGCTGTTTTGTTGAA